ATTACAAACAAGGGCTGGGGAGGTGGCTCAGTGGTAGAGCGCTTGCATTGCATGCATGAGGCCCTGGGTTCCATTCCTCAGCACCACATAAGCAAAAAGAAAAAAGCCGGAAGTGGCGCTGTGGCTCAAGTGGTAGGGCGCTAGCCTTGAGCTGAAGAGCTGAGGGACAGCGCCCAGGCCCAGAGTTCAGGCCCCAGTACCTACAAAAAAAAAATTACCAACAAATAACCAATAACAAAATGTAACTTGTTTCCTGAGTAGGAGAGGGAAAAGATTAGAGACAGGTATGTAGCCCTTCTGTTTGAAATAGCTTCTGATTTTATCATGAGAGATGATCTTGAACCTATCAAGATGTCCCAAACTTTCCAAGGAACAGGCATGAAACCAAGTTTAGAAGCTGCCTCTCTTCTGGTCTTAGCACACTGAATAGCAACCCAAGGGCAAGCGTGGCATCATCTGAAAAGGTGCTCTAGTTTTTGCCCTCTTCATGCCCAGTTCTTCAGCTGTTTCTTAGACTGTGTTGTCAAAGAGCCTGTCCTGGCTGACATCAGGCCTGGAAATCTGAAACAAAGAGTGAGAGCCTCTGATGCCAAGCTGTGAGACCTGAAAGGGTTAAAGAGCTTGGAATGACAGCTCAAAGTGCCCTCAAAACGCTGGGAGCTGAGCCCAGGTAAGGTCAAGCAGTCCATCCAAGCTGACAGAGGTAAAAACTACTACCCTAACTTTGTTTAAATTAGAGCTGGTTGGACACTACAAGCCTTTGAGATAAAACGGATGCCTGTCTTTGTGGATGGAATGTTTTATTGCTCCCTAATGATAAGAGAGTCAATTATTTCTATGTTTACAAAGTATACCTCATATTAAAGGTTGTAACCAGAAGATTGATTGATACCCTAGTCTCTGCCTTATCTGTAGCCACTCCTCCTTCTGTACTGAACTCACTAAAAACACTTGTTAACAAGCCCATGGGAATCAGTAGGTGAATGAACTTTTGATTCCCCTGGCTCCCCAAAACCTCAGTTCTTCGGCCTGATCTCCCATTATTGTCTTGTCTCCAGTCATGGTGGTCAGCGGCAATAATCCAGCACCACCTCCCCTTCACAGGACACTCCTGTGAAAGCAAACCAGCCACTGTCATAACCCATCTGACCAGAAGGAGCTTGGCCATGAACTTCTGTAATCACACTGGCTTTCTGTGCAGTTTCCTACCTTCCCCCTCCCCCCCCTAAACTGGTTTACAAATACTCTGCACAAACCTATAGTTGGGGCTCAGACCCTTGAGGGGACACCTCTGGGTCTGCCAGCATAAAATAAACCCGAGTTACCCCAGCCTCTCTGAGAGTTTCACTTGGTCATCTTTCCATGACAATATGAATTACACAGCCAACTCCTATTTCCCATAGGTTAACCAGTCAGTCTCTGTTGCTTACAAAAAAAGTACTCTTAACTGTGGGAGTCATGCGGGTGTTTGAACACATCCCTTCTTTAAAACATTCTTTCTTTTTTTTTTTTTTTTTTTGGGTCCGGTCGTGGGGCCTGAACTCTGGGCCTGGGCGCTGTCCCTCAGCTCTTCAGCTCAAGGCTAGCGCTCTACCACTTGAGCCACAGCCTCACTTCCAGCTTTTTTCTTTTTTTTTGCTTATGTGGTGCTGAGGAATCAAACCCAGGGCCTCAGGCATGCAAGGCAAGCACTCTACCACTGAGCCACCTTCCCAGCCCTAAAACATTCTTTCTTGCTATTAAACCGAAAGATTGCTCTGCTCTGGTCTACCTTTCGGGGTCATGCACTACAAATATTATTCTTCTTCCACATGGTGTTTCTTTAGAAGATGAACATGATTATCACTCCCCTTCCTACCCACCCCACCCCATTTCTCTCTGCCCACATAATGAGCTGATACTGTTCCTCAGCATGGGGTTGGAGGTCTTTACTTCACTGGCTACTGTTTCCTAAGTGTACTCCTGTCTGTGTTCTCTGTGGCATGTGTCCCTAAATGGGACAGAGAACCCACTCTGCTGTGGGCTGCTAGTGTAGAATGAACTAGACCCACACATCCTTCATTCTAGATAAAATGAGTTACTGAGCCCTAAGCATTGCTTAATCATCCTGGGGTTAAAAACCTTGTTTGGGAGGATGTAGATTCCGGCCCTGGTAGGGCCTTTCCTTGACTTGTTACATGGTGGTGGATAGCATCACGGTGGGAGTGCATGGGAAAGGGCAAGATGGACATCACTTGATAGGATTGGAAGCCAGAGGACAGAGACCAACTAGACTTGCTCTTTTACTGCAACCCTCTTGTAAGCACTAACCAGGGGCCCAGAAGAACTCCATTAATTCCTTCCAAGAGCAACCTCTCCAATGACCTCCCACTGGGTCCCACTTTCTCTTAACATTAAGAAACGAACTTCCAGGAAGTGAGACCTTGAGGAAGATTGTCAAACAATGTCTAAACCCTAGCACTGGGCTAGAGGTGTGACTCAGAAGTTAGATGCTGGCCTAAATCCTAGCATTCTTTCTGTCTGTCTGTCTACCTAAGTAATGGAGAAATTGGTTGCTTGGCTTACTTAGCATCCCATTAGTCCTGATTTTCCTGGTGTTCCCAATAGAGGCTGGCCAATTATAGCTATTCACTACTGTGGCCATAAATGGTTGATGGTTCAACTTGTAACCTAAACAGAGCCAGTAAGAGTCCTGACATCAGTTACATTCATGCTTATCTACTCTAGTATTACTTTTCTTTAGTGTCCACAAGTCACAATAATATAGTAATTTTTCCAACTGAGTGAAATGATCTTATCTGAGAAAAAAGCTAGTTCATAGAATAAAGCAAAGCCAAGGACAAAACAACAAAACCCTGAGTATACCACTAGATCCATTGGGTACAACTGTGCCTGAAGCTAGATCCACACATGAATTTCCTAGTTATGTAAGCTAATACATTCTCCATATGAAACCATCATTTTGTAAGTCAAAAAGAAGCCAAATATTAACAATTGCATCAAATTCAGCCTAAAAATTAAAGCTAACTCGAATTAGATTTCAAGTTATCATATTTAGAAAGACCTTTAAAATTAAATTCATTATTTTGAGATAATTATGAATTCTTGAGTAATTATAAAATAATACACTTGGTTGAATGGCTTAGTTTTCTTTCTTTCTTTTTTTTTTTTGGGTGGGGGGTCCGGTCGTGGGTGTGAACTCTGGGCCTGGGTGCAGTTCCTCAGCTCTTTAGCTCAAGGCTAGTGCTCTACCACTTGAGCCACCTTCCCAGCCCCTGGCTTACTTTTCTTTGAGATGAGGTTTACTATGTAGTCAGGCTGACCTTGAACTCCTAATCCTCCTACTTCAATTTCAAAAGTGCCAGAATTACAGGCCTACATATTCCCAGCCAATGACATCTAATATAAAACAATAATATATATTAAGAATTTTTTTGTCAGTCCTGGAGCTTGAACTCAGAACCTGGATGCTATCCCTGAGCTCTTTAGCTCAAGGGTAACACTCTACCACTTTGAGCCACAGCACCACTTTCAGTTTTCTTGTGGTTCATTGGAGGTAAGAGTCTCATGGACTTTCCTGACCAGGCTGGCTTTGACCCACGATCCTCAGATTTCAGCTTCCTGAGTAGCTAGGATTATAGGTATGAGCCATCAGCATCTGGCTAAAATGTCAAATCTTATTTAAACAACAACATCAAATCTTTTAAAACAAGCATTCTTGATCTATAGTCTGTGGGGCCCTCATGAATCTCTAAGGCTCTTCAGGGAATCACAAGATCAGACTATTTTCCAGGAAGTACTAAGAAGTTACTTGTCCTTTTCACTCATTCTCCTATAGCATAAGGTAGAGCTTTTCAAAGGTTAGCTGACATGTGATATCATAACTGATTAGACACAGAAGCAGATATGAGAATCTAGCTGTCTCCCACTCATCCAGACATTAAGGGAATTTACTAAAAAAAAAAAAAAGTGTGTGTATGTGTGTGTAAGTGAGAGAGAGGGGGAGTGGGGGGGTGAACTTGGCCTTGAACTCATGCTCTTATTTAGTATATTCTCCCAAGGCTGGCACTTTATCACTTGAGCCACAGCTCTACTTCTGGCTTTTTCCTGGTTAATTGAAGGTAAGAGTCTTATGGATATTCTTGCTCAGGCTGGAACAATGGTGACCCTCAGATCTCAGCCTCCTGAGCAGCTAGGATTACAGGCATGAACCACCAACACTCAGTGTTTTTTTCTTGCAATAAACTTGCAATTCTCTGAGAGCAGGGACAGGGTTTGTTTTGTTTACTGAGGTATTTCCAGTATCTGGCACAGTGCCTGGCAAAATAATGCTCACAAGTTTTTTGAGCTCTTCTACTACACATTACTTTCTAGACGACTTGACATTCCAGTGATATGATTGTTCCTCAAATTTAGATCATTCTGGTCCACCCTCCTGCCTATCAAAGCTGAAGGGGATCTTAGGATGCAGCCAGTTCATTTTACAGCCCAGGGAGCTGATCCTGGGAGAGGAGGGTAGATGCCCTGTTCCAGGGTAACTCAGCGACTTAGTGGCAGGGCCATGATCAAAACTCAAGAGTCCTCAATTCTGGTCTAGTGTCCTAGATGCACAAACTGGGGTGTGGGGCTGGGGACCAGGCTGTTTTGTGTGTCATTGTGTCTGTAAGGATAGAAGTGCAGGGAAAGTCTGCAGTGAAGACCTGGCTTTCCAGACTGGAGGAGACAAAGCCCCTTTTATCTCTCATTAATCATAATGGTTGTTACTAGTTTGTAATTTATGAAGTGCTTTCCCTTTAAAAACAAGACGTTCTAACACGCGGAAGGGCAAAGCAGGGAGGACTTGAGAGGCTTAGGAGCCTCAGAAAGACAAGACCCTCCCTTCCAGGTTCCTACTGGGAAAGGTTGACTCTCCCTTTTCTTGCTCCGTCTGGTTTGAGAAATGCTTGCCTGTCCCTGGAGCCGCGGAGCCTCTCGGCAGCACCGAGGGCGGGTCTTGTTGCCTTGGTGACTGCCAGGTTGCGCTGAGAGACCGTTCCCATAGCCAATCGAAGCCGGGTGGGGGTGGGGCCAGCCGCGTCCGGCGCTGCAGCGGCGGGGTTTGCAGGTTTGTGGACGCGGCGATGGGGGAGGGGAACGGGGTCGCAGGGGGACTCTTGGGGAGCCTCGACTGAACCCCAGATCCCGGGGTGCGGCGGCGTGCCTTCCGCCGCCGGACGAGGGCTCCCAGACTCCACGCCAGGAGTTCCCATCGGGTCCGAGCTGGCGGCGGTGGCGGAGATGGCGGAGGGCGGAGGGCCGACGCGCGGGTCCGAGCCAGGCCCGGCGGGGGATCGGCGGGATCCGGGCGGCGGCGGCGGCGCCCCCCGGAGACCCCCGCCGCCCGAGCCCCGGGGGCGGGGCGCAGATCTCGGGGAGAGGGACAAACACGTGTGAGGGCCGGGGTTTGGAGGCCCCAGCCCCAGTGCAGGGCCCTCGGCGTGGCCGCCCACCCCACGTCCCTTTCCTCGCTTTCTGCCTCTTCTTTCTTGTTCAGGTGTCCGGGCTGGCTGGCTCTGCACACCTAGGAAGCATGAAGCTCCTGTCTTTGGTGGCCGTGGTCGGGTGTCTGCTAGCGCCCCCAGCTCAAGCCAACAAGGTGAAGGTGGCGGTGGGGTGAGCCCCGGGGTGCCCGGCCCTCCCAGAGCCCGGCCTGCAGGGCTTTCCCCGGGGGCTCCTGGGGTACCTCTCAGGGTCAAGCTGCGGGCCTTCCTAAAACCGTAAGGGGGGGAGGGGCAGAGAGGAGGGGGGACCGGTGCACCCAGAACCTGGCACTGATTCTGCCCTGAGAAGACTGGCTCTTGGGAGTTCCTATCCAGCCAGTTTATTTAAGTTCTCTCTACCTTCCTTTGTCTTGGTAAAATAGTGGTTGTTAGCGCCTGCTCGGCTTAGGAAGAATGAAATCACAATGCCATGTAACCATGCCCTCTGTACAGTCCTGTACAGGTGGGAGTTTATGCTAAGAGGAGCGGTGAACTGAGATGATGCCCATTCCTTGCGGGTAGAGGACCTGGAGTTGGGTTTGGGTGGGTGTGGAATCAGATTCTGATCAAGGTAGCCCTGGCTTTCAAGTAAGGTTAAGCCCCTGGGTCTGCTTCTTACTTTCCTGGGATTCCTAATTGGAATAACAATGTTGATGATGCTGTCTTTTAATCTTTCCAGGGGAGGAGAACTTTCCCAGGGGTTGCTTAAATCGTCCCATGGCCACAGTACACTATTCCTTGCTCTCCCCCCACCCCAAATCCTCCTCCTACCTCCATTCCTATCCTAGGACATTGAGGTGGAATCAGAGGAAGATGGCCACCAAGTGCACACAGAAGTGTGGGACTGGCAGTGCATCCCCTGAAAGCACCCCACTTTGAGAATGGCAGCCCTAGGCAGCTATGAATGTCATTTGCCACCTGGACAGATTCTGTCTTGACCCTGGGCCTGAGCACCCTTCTGCGGAAGCAGTCTTCACCGAACCTGACGATGGAGAAAGTTCAAGTGCATCTAAGTGGCCATCTTGCAGAACACCTTGCTAAAATTTGGCAGCCTAAGTAGAACTGAACCCAGACAAGGAGCCATCTAACTGAGTGGTGCTTTCTCTTCCAGAGTTCTGAAGATATCCGGTGCAAGTGTATCTGTCCACCTTACAGAAACATCAGTGGGCACATTTACAACCAGAATGTGACTCAGAAGGACTGGTAAGGCATTGCATATGGCTCCATTTCTACAGAGAGCTTTTCAAAGAAATACTTGGGGACCAGACGTGAAGGCACATGTCAACAATCTCAGCTATTGAGGAGGTAGAGATAGGAGGCTTGCCTAAGTGAAGTTTAGCCAGATCCTATCTCAAAAACAAGCCAAGCATGGTGGTACATTCCTATAATCCTAGCTGAAGAAGAGGCATAGGTAGGAGAATGGAGGTCCAAGGTTGGTGGGACATAAGCACCAGACCTTATCTAAAACAGAAACTAAAAGCAAGAGGACTGGGGTAGCGCTCAAGTAGTAAGAACACTTGTCAAAAATTACCATCCTGTGGGGCTAGTCAGCGTAACCAAGATCTTTTTTGGGGGATGGAGGAGGGGTACCACTCCCACCTGAGGATTGACGAAAAGCTTCCTTCCAATCAAGGCAGGTCTAGGAAAAGTTTCTGAGACAGTAGAGGTCAAATGTAAGTCAGCCACTCTCCTCCAGCCTTGGGACAGTGACTGTCTGATTGGCTGGTCATGAGAGAGAACTCAGAGCTGTCATGTTCTCAGTTCTTCAGTACAGACTTGTGCCAGGGTAAAACTCCTGTTCATGCTTACCTTAGAGATGATGCACTTCCAGCCTGCTGAAAATGTATTCCTTTCCAATCACTTTCACTTTAAAAAAAAAGTGCTTGCCTACTAAACTAATTGCAAGGCCCTGAATTCAATCCTGAGTATTTAAACATATATTAATGTGTGCAGCCAATTAGAAACAGGGCACAGCTGTCAGCTAGGAGCTCTCGATGTGAAAACTGGATTTTGTGCTTTGCTTTGAATTTGGTTGTTTGGTTGGTTGAGATGTAACCCTGACTAGACTCAAACTTCTGCCTCAGTCTCCCAAAGTGCTGGGATTACAGGTGGGTATCACAGCTCCCAGCTTTAATATGGAGCGTTAGTGATAGATGCAGTGTGGGTGGTAGAGAAGTTGGGAGAAGTAGGTGGTATTATATTGTGACCATGTGCTGTACAGTGTTCAGTTCTTGCAAAGCTGCTACCTGGTTTTTGTTCTAATCTCATAGCAACCTTATAAAGGCAATGTGAAGGGTATTGTTTCCATTTTAGGACTGAGGCATAGACTGAGGCTCAAAGAAAGAATTTGTACTACCAATGTGAAGGGTATTGTTTCCATTTTAGGACTGAGGCATAGACTGAAGCCCAAAGAAAGAATTTATACTACCAAAGTCTTGAATGCATGTATTGCTTTTTTAAAAAAGAGACCTCAATTGGGTGCTGGTGGTTTATGCCTATAATCTTAGCTACTCAGGAGGCTGAGATTGGAGGATGCTAGTTTGAAGCTAGTCCATGAGACTCCCCCAGTTAACCACCAAAGAGCCAAAAGTGAAGCTTTGGCTTCAGTGGTAGAGTGCTAGCCTGGAGCAAAAGAAGCTCAGGGTCAGCACCTAGGCCCTGAGTTCAAGCCCCAGGACTGGTACCACTACCACCATCAACAATAAATAATAACCACAAAAAACCCTCTTATGTGTAGTAGTTAAATCTAGTTTATAAATAGACAACATTGTATGCAAGTATACACAAATGTGTTAACCAAAGTATAGTATTTGTAAGGGAGAATTCAAATGGTATAATTCCTTAGAAAAGTAAACTCACAGTCCAATAAAATGAATATCAGGAAACTGGTGCTTGAAAGGTATAGGGAAGAGACAAAGTGAGGATAGACAAAAGAAGAGAGGAAGGGAGGAGAATGTAGTCATTATATTCAATGCGTGTCCTATGAAACTAGGAAAATTGAGGCTAGGGGTTGGGTTGGGAGGGATGAGGAAGAGTGATAAAAGGGAGGATTGATCAAGATGCATTGTACTTATAAGCCATGGGGTGACCCCTTTCTACAACTGCTTAAAGATAATACAAATACAAGAACATTATTTATTTATTTATTTATTTTGTGGGTCATGGGGTTTGAACTCAGCTTGGGCGCTGTCCTTGTGCTCTTCAGCTCAAAATGAGTGCACTACCACTTGAGCCACAGCGCCACTTCCGGTTTTTTAGTGGTTTATTGGAGATAAGAGTCTCACGGACTTTCCTGCCCAGGCTGGCTTTGAACCATGATCCTCAGATCTCAGCCTCCAGAGAAGCTAGGATTACAAGTGTGAGCCACCTGCACCCAACAAGAACATAATTTTTTTTTTAAAGAAATAACCAAGAATTTATTTAAGTGAGGGAGACCATTTAATGAAAGAAGTTCCAGCTTACTGTATTATAAAGAATAGTTTAAGGAACTAGACATTGCCTGAAAGAGGAGAGGACCTCTGGTCACTCAGTTGCTGACCAAGTCCAGAAGAAAGGCAGGCACACCTTGGGGTATGTGGGATTAGGTGCTCCTGGGGATGGAGCAGGGTCATTGTGGTGTCTTGGTGTAGATTTCAGGCCGGTGGATGAACTAGGTATAATTCAGGGCTGTGAAGCCCCATCTTTGGTGAGATCTGAGCACACATGGAGTGAGGTCACACTCATTGGCCAGGCACAGTGGTTCATGACTGTAATCCTTGCTTCCTGGGAGGATCATACTTTGAAGCCAGACTGAGCAAACAGTATGCAAGACCTTATCTGAACCAATAGCTGACTGCTGTCATCCCAGCTACTTGAGAAAGATAAACAGGAGGATTGTAATCCAAGCCTGTCTGAGCATCCACAGAAGACCCTATCTGAAAAACAACTAAAGTGAAAAGGGCTGAAGGCAAGGCTCAAGTGGTAGAGTGCTGGCCTAGCAAATGCAAGGCCATGAGTTTAAACCCTGGTATTGCTGAGCAAGGGGGGTAGCGGGGAGAAGGGGTAACACTATGGGGAGGCTGGATCAGTTTTGTCTCTAGTAAGGACAAAACACAGATTCCAGGCATACCCCTAAGATTTTGATTTGGCAGATATGTAGGTGAATGGTACTCCTTTTTTGTTTTTTTTTTAAGTCGGTTGTGGGGCTTGAACTGTGGGCCTGGGCGCTTTCCCTGAGCTCTTCAGCTCAAGGTGAGCGCTCTACCACTTGAGCCACAGCAGCAACACTTCCAGTTTTCTGGTGGTTAATTGGAGATAAGAGTCTCACAGACTTTCCTGCCCTGGCTGGCTTTGAACTATGATCCTCAGATTTCAGCCTCCTGAGTAGCAAGGATTACAGGTGTGAGCCACCGGCACCCAGCCTGGATGGTACTCTTTAAATCCTGTCCCCATACTAGGGCTTGAACTCGGGGTCTTACACTCTTGCTCAGCTTTTTCACTCACAGCTGCTACTTTACCACTAGAGCCATAGCTCCACTTTCAGCTTTTTTGCTGGTTAATTGGAGATAGGAGTCTCTTAGATTTGTCTGCTTGTGTTGGGCACAATGCTCAGCCTCCTGAGTAGCTAGGATTATAGGTGTGCGCCACTGGTGCCTGGCTTACCTGGTAACCATTTCTTATAGTTCCTGGTGCAGTGGATCTAGAACAACCCTGGAGAGTCTTCAAACTTGTTAGATTTCTGACTCTGGGAGAAATTGGTATCCAACTTTCTGAGAGACAGTCATGGTCACACAGACTGTACACAACCAGCCCTCCTGCCTTCCAGTTTAGTTTTGCCACTGGCTAATTGTGCCCTCAATTCCCTCAATTACTTCGTCTCTACTGTACTTTGATTTCCTTATCTGCAAAATGGTACACTATGAAGTGTGTGCACATGCATACGTGCAGTCTAGTACCTGGCACATGGAAAGTGGTATAGAAAACATTAGCTGCTCTTATGAATATAGTGTCCTGCCTTCCTAGCGGCCACACAGGTAGACATCAGATTCCCACTATACCCTGGGAAACTTGGGCTCCTCCTGAAGTGCTAGCCTATTTCCCATGCTTCTATCATACTCAAGGAGAAAAAAAAGAAAAGAAAAGAAAAAGCTCCTCAGGCCTGTGAGGGACCCCAGGACCTCCTTAGAGCTTGTGGTTATAGTTGAAATAGCATCAGTGAAGACACCAATGGGTTCCTAAACCCACCCTGGATAACACATCACACCACGCCCCTTGCCCTGGGAGGCACCCTACAGATTTTATTAGCGTCTTTTGTCCTGGGGTTACTGTAGCAATTGAAAACCCAAGCTTGGAAGACCACAAAGAACGGAATCTGTACCTCTCAGCCTGTACTTTTTCCTCTTTCTTCCCACTTAGATTAGGAGGCTGCCTAATGAATGATCTTGCATCTGGACCTTCAAGGCAGTACTATTCCACGGTGCTGGCTAGAAACAGAGCAGGAAGTAAACCCCAGGATTCTAGAACCATCCACATTGGCCCTGGGATTCATATACTGGCCTGGAGCCTCTCTGATGAAAAGAGGCCTTGATGTTTATCCTGAAACCCCAGGGTGTGGGCCAGGATTGAGGATCACCTTGAGTGAGTCTTCAGATTTCCCGCTAAAAGCACACTTGCTCTGTTCCCCCTTAGCTAGGCCAAGTGAAGGAAGTCAAACTTCCCGCTCAGTCCTGGTTCAGTGGCTCAAGCTCAGTGTTTTTGTGCTGCTGGTATTCTGCCATCTAGTGTCAAGAGTTTATACTCACCTGTATTAAGAAGGAAATGCCAACGTATTAAGAAGGAAATGCCAACAAATGCTGTCCCATTTGAGGGTCCAACAAGATATGTTAGAGAGACAATCTCAGTGTAGGAAGAAACGTAATACATTGATTCGCTAAAATAGGATCCTTAACCAGGCCCTGGTGGCTTGCGCCTATTATCCTAGCTACTCAGGATAAATAATGTAAAATAGGATCTTTCTACAAACACCATCTAGTGTGGAAACAAAATATACATGCCATGAACTCCTAACTGCTGGCTGAGGGGGTCCCTCAAACCTCCCTCACTCCCACCCACTTCCTACACCTACCTTCAGAGTTTGGAATACACCCATCAAGTTCAGCCTCTGTTATAAATGGGGAAATTGAAGCCCAAGGAGGTTCGATAAATCACCTGTAATCCCAGACCCAGTAGAAGAGCAGAGTTAACAGTTAAACCTAGCTTCTTTCTTGTTCGCTCTCCTCCCCTAACGTCCCTGACTTGACCATGGAGTCTTTTTCATCCTGCAAAGGTAAACGGAGACTTAGGAGAGCAAGAACCTTTTAGAAGTTCTCTGATTGCCAGAAGAGCCAGAATGGGCAGAAATCTCAGCTTCTCATTGACCTTCTTCTTGCCCTCTCACAGCCTGTTTCCCCAGTTCCATGATCCCAAGTTGCGGAGTGCAGGTCCTCCCTTCCTGCCTCTCTGATGCTAGGCCTTGGCCTTGGCCTGTGTATGGGGTTTAGGAGTAGGGTACATATCAGCTTTCTACACTCAGGACTCTTATGTGGTGCTCATCCCCAGGAGAAGGTGACATTCTCTCTGGGTAAGGAGGACAGCAATAGAATGTGGTCTTGCTTGTTAACTCCTCCCAGAGGTGGCCAGTGCCACAGCCTGAGAGCGGTACCTTTAGGTACAACAGGGAGCCTTGTCCTACCACAGGTGTAACAGCTGCCACCCAAGGGTGAATCCAGGCTCCTCAGAAGTCTCAACTCATGTGCTTCATACTGGACCTTTAGGGGAACAGTCTTCACTACAAGATCCCCACATCTCCTACCCATAGTTCTGCCAGAAACCCTGCTTGACTTTTAGAGGATAGAGCTTGAAGAACTAGCTAGTTAGTTAGTTGGCTGGCCAGTTGGTTAGTTTATGGGAGTACTCAGGGTCTCACAGTCTTGCTTAGCTTTTATCACTCTAGGTTGGCCCTCCACCTCTTGAGCCACACATCTACTTCTGACTTTTTGCTGGTTAACTGGAGATTAAGATTCCCTTGGATTGTCTGCCAGGCTGGCTTTGAACCTCTACCCTTGTATTTCAGCACCCTGAATAGCTAAGATGATAGGTGTGAGCCCCGTACCTGGCTGCGAAGAGCCTTTTAAAGGTTGCCTGGATTTCCTCATGTCAACTTCAGCATTTCACAAGAGAGGACAGGCCAAAGACACGGACCGAGTCAGGACAGAGCCCAGGCTCAGCCATTCATTGAAGCATAACACCTAATTGGCCCCTGTGAACCTCTGAGGGTGGTTTGATGTTTTTCCAGTGGCAGCATTTGTTCTGTGGGGCCTTTGGCTTGCTCGGTTGGAGGCCTGCAGATCTGAGGATGGCTGGGGTCCAGGGATCTGAGTGCAGATCTGAGCACCCGAGCAGGTCCCGTGGAGGCTGAGTCAACCACCAAGGTGTTGGGGACCTGGCCTTACCACCACATTAGCACTGCCACTGAGCCTGTCTCTCTCATTTTTTAAATATGAAGGCTGTGATCTTTAGCCTACCTTGCCCAGGGCATTGCCTAGTAACAATGGCTCTGTTCTTAGAGCAGTTCATCTCTGTGGTAGTCACTCCCCATGTTTGTCTCTGACAGCACCATGCTAGACACAGGCAATATGGCCTATAAGACTTTACATGCATTGGGAAGACAGCAAGGCAGTGCAAACCAGGACAGCATCAATGTGGGCCGGGCTGTGGGAGGGGTGGGCGGGGAACTGGCTGGGCATGAGGTCAAAGATTGGGCTGGATCCCCAGAGAGTGTAGAGGAGAGGCAGGTACTGCATTCCTATATGCCGGATATGGCTGCTTCAGAGAATAATCTAGCAAGTAGCCTGGCTGGGGGTGGGAGTTAGGTGGAGAGTGGCAGGACACAGGCCTGGCCGGTAGGTAGAACCTCGAGTCTGTTGGTAGATGGTAGATTGGTTCCGTTTGCCCTTTACCTGGAGCTACTGAGGCATCGGCTGGTTTGGATCCCGTGATCACCATGGCAACCGTTACACTGCCATACCAAGGTAGTATCTATCGGGCCTATCAGGCAGAGGTGAAGCAGGGGCAGGAGAGCTGTGGGTGGCTGGCCATTGTCTGGAGGGGATGGTAAGGGCCTCAGACATGGCGGTGGGAGGGAATAAAGGTGGATTTTAGAAATGTTTAGGGAAGTAAAATCCCCTGGCAGGCGAGGAGAAGCTGGAGTCACAGATGGCTCTGGGTTTGATTTAATCATGGTGGTGTTGGGGTGGGAGGGTGTATGGATGCTAGGACGCACCGTGTTTTCTCTGACACTGGAAACATCACAGAGCTAGTGTGCAGAGGACACAGGGGGACGTGTAGAGTTTGGGGCCCCGTGGAACACTCAGAAAGTGAATCAACTCTCTGGACATAAGAGTCCAGCTATTTAAAGGAGAGATTCTAACCAAAGACTCTTAGGATGGAGGTGGCCTCCAGGGAGAACTGAGCCCAAGGGGAGAAGGTAGCCACAGGGAGAGGGCAGCCAGGGGGGAGCTCTGGGACCATGAATGAGATGCCAAAGATTGTGTGGGAGCCTGGATCCTGATGGGCTGGGAGAAGGTTTCTGTTGGCCTCCCCCTTTATAAACCACCCTCCTTGGGAGCCTCCTTCCCACTCAGACCCCTCCCCTCCTCTACTTCTGCCGCCTGCCTCCCAACGCCCTGTCTTTCTGTGTTGCAGCAACTGCCTGCACGTGGTAGAGCCCATGCCGGTGCCTGGCCACGACGTGGAGGCCTACTGCCTGCTGTGTGAGTGCAGGTACGAGGAGCGCAGCACCACCACCATCAAGGTACCACGCCCCGACCCTGGCAGCCTCCAGTCACTTGCTCTGCTCTATGCTGGAACATTCCAAGTGGCCAATGGACTGGCTTCTGGGCTGATCTAGTGTAGACACAGGGTCCCATTTCCCACACCTTTGGGACCAGCTCTCTTCTCTGGCATTTGTCTAGTGGCTCCCCTATAATGAGAGGCATGCATCCCGTGTACTCAGTGCCTTAGGGTGTCCGCCATGTCTGGGTACCAGACATGATGCTTGCAATCTCACCAGGCTTCCAGGGCTGTGTCAGACCCCGGACAAAGCCTCTGGGGACCCTCACGGGGTGTTGGGTGCTGGCATCTGGGGCCTTTTGCTTTGTCCTGAATTTTTCTCATTGACCATTAAGGATTAGATTAGTAGATTAAGGAGAGGAGTGGTGGGCGTGGCTACCACACGGGGAACGAGGAAGGACAGCATCAAGCCCCTGTCCATTCCTGTGCCACCAGCACGTGATGGGACCATGTACCCTAGAGACCATGAGGCCACCCTATTCTTCTTGTTCTTATGCTTGCTTTCCGCAAGTCTAGACACAGCTTTAAAAGTAACTCACGGGTTTAAAGACACCCCTGAGTCCTCTCTTAGGTTCCTGCCTTTGAGGTGCATTTGAAGGGAGGTGGCTCTCGAGCTATTTCTCCCTGTCTGCCCTTCTCGGATCTGCAGCTCCACCCCGGCTGACCCCTCAGGAAAGTAGCTGTCTCCTCACCACCTCCACCCCCAGTCATTGCTCCGCCGGGTCCTGGGGGCTACACTCGCTCATTCTCCTGCCCAAGGCAGCCCTTCTCCCTAGCCATTTCTGGCTGAACTTGTTCCAGTGGGCCTTGCCCCTAGGGACCAGATTCGAGATCTTTGGTTCCAAGCCAGATGTCATTTCCCTTTGTAGCATGAAGAACTTCATAAGATGCAACCTCCTAACCCTTCACAGGTCCCTCTAGTCTGTCTGCCTCGGGGCTCCTGCTCCACTCCCTGCCAGACAGACAGACCAGCTGCTGTTCCTTCCCTGTCCTGATGCTGTTCACCTGGTTCAAGGCTATGAACAACTGGTACCCCAGGTCAGGAGGAAACTGGTCCAGTTGGACTTAGCTATTGACTACAATGGACACTAAAGTTGAAATTCTTAAGATTCTCCCTTTTTTTTTTTTTTGGTCGGTTGTGGGGCTTGACCTCACAGCCTAGGCACCATCCTTGAGCTCTTTTGCCCAAGGCTAACACTCTACCACTTTGAGCCATAGCACCACCTCCAGTTTTCTGGTGATTAATTGGAAATAAGAGTCGCAACACATTTTCCTGCCAGAGCTGGCTTTGAACCACAATCCTCTGATCCCTGCCTCCTGAGTAGCTAGGATTACAGCTGTGAGCTACCAGGACCCGACATTGAGATTCTTCTAAAATAATAATAATAATAATAACAAAAACCTTTTCACAGTCAAAGTCCAGGGCTGAGATTAGAAGCCAGTGATAAGCCAGGCATGTGCTTGCTGGAGCACCCCTTGCTAGGAAGCCTTGCTTCCCAGTCCCTAGAGCAGTGTTGGAGGGTCAGATAGCTAAACACAGACTATATATTCCTGTCCTGGGCTGCGGATAGAGGTTCACAGGACAAGCCTGGTCTCTTCCTCAGGTCATCATTGTCATCTATCTGTCAGTGGTGGGCGCCCTCTTGCTCTACATGGCCTTCCTGATGCTGGTGGACCCTCTCATTCGAAAGCCAGATGCCTACACTGAGCAGCTACACAACGAGGAGGAAAACGAGGTAACGAACCCAGGGCTCCTGGCTTGTGAGCCACGGGGGTAGAGCCCAAACGCTGGGGTGGCTCCTCTCCTCCCCACCCCTTTGTGCTTCAGATTGCTCTTCTGTCTATGATCCTTCTTCTCGTCACCAAGACTCAGCAGGAAGGGCCATGGTTTTCTCATACCTGACACTTGGCAGTGTCAGAAGCCAGGGGAGTGTGTCTGCTGTTACCCTAAATTTCCAGGCGAGGGGCAGAGAAGTGGGGGAGCCTGGAACTAGGGCCAGTCACGTCATATTAGAATCTCTACGTCATATTCTACTTGCTCAGACATTGGACTTGGACGTAGCAGGTTTATTCTTTGGTTCAGTGTTCCCACAAATGTCTATTGAGTGCTAGCTCACTTCAAAGCCCAGCTCTGGGCTGAGGACAAATGGAGAGGGATCTCAAGGCAAGAGGGGTCAGGTGGGTGGTGATACCTGGGCATTGCTGTGCACTTGTGAAGAATTTGGGCATCTGAGATAGCCTGGGCACTGGGAGTGGTGGCAGAAGAAACTGGCTGGAAAGACGAGGCCTGGAATGTCAAGCTGCAAAGGTTTGCCTTTTGTATGATCATGAAAGTGGGCAAACGCTGGCCCTAAACAGCATTGCATGCTTTGTCTGAGGGACACACAGTGTCCACAGGGCCCCGTGGTTTGAGGATAGTCCCATCCACACTGGTGGGTTGATTGATGGCACCTGCTCGTGTGCATAGCAGGGAAGACTTGGTTGAAAACACTGGTAGATGTGTAGCTTCAATTAAAAACAAAACAAAAAAACTTGCTGGCTGCTGGTGGCTCACACCTGTCATCCTAGCTACTCAGGAGACTGAGATCTAAGGATCACAGTTCAAAGCCAGCCTGAGTAGAAAAGTCCATGAGACTCTTATCTCTAATTAATTATTAAAAAGTGGAAGTGGAGCTGTGGGTCATGTGGTAGAGTGCTAGCCTTGAGCACAAAAGCTTAGGGAGAGTGCTCAGGCCCTGAGTTCAAGCCCCAGGACCAGCACACACACATAATAACTCAAGGAGGTGCATAACATCTGCGTCTAGTCCATCATCGTAGCCACTCAGCCACAGTCTGCTTCTGATGTTCTAGTGGTGGGCCTACCCTCATTGAGGGACAGAAGTACCCCAATGGGATTAGAGAGAGGTGTAAGGAGCTGTCTTACAGGGAGTACAGGGTGGTGATGGAGTGGTGACCCCTGGTGAATTCCTGAGCCATGGGTCATAGGGGGTTCCTAGGCCTGGACTGAATTGCTCTGGACAGTTGTAGTTGAGCTGGGGTAGACTGGTCCTCCGTTAGAGGCAGGAAAGGCAAGTGGTCCTCCAGAATGAGGGTCCTGCGCTCAGGACTAAGTGAAGCTGCCCAGGTGAGGTGGACCTGGGCCTATCCGGGCAGGGAGGAAGGAGGCCCAGCCCCTCCCACCCACTGTGCCGCTTTGGGGTACCTGCCCAGACTGTTCCCAGTCTGTCGCCAGCCTCCTGCTGGCATGAGTGTGGCCTAAGGTGGAATAGAGGTGACAAGCCTTGCGCCCTGGATCTGGGCTGGAGAGGTGGTGGCGCTAGCAGTTGGGTGGTCTGTGTTCAAGAGAAAAGCTTACACACCAACCCAGTTATTAATGTAGAAGTAATAGCAGCTCTGATAGGGGAGGGGCATCACTAATAAATACCGGGTGATTAGGGGAAAGGGAGTAATTGCAGACCTGGCCCAGGAGTAATTGAGAGATGTAGCCCATGATTACACAGCCCGAGCCCCGGTTTCCCTGGAATGCATGGCTCTCGGGCACAGCCTTTCTGTGTCTCCTGCCATCCTAGATCATAGCCAGGGGACCACAGCCCGTGGTTGCTGGGTCTGAGGCTGGTCCTCTCTTCCTGTAAGAGAGCCGGGTGCCCCCCACTTGGAGTGTGTTTGGGTTTGGAGGGGAGTAAAGGGGTAGATTTGGTCTGGAGACAGGACCCGAGTTGGGTTGGACAAGTCACACATGCAGGCCTGGCTGGGTGGGAAGGAGTCTTCCCTACGGAGGGCGCTCTTCAGCCATATATAAGGGTGTAGTGGCCAGCTGTCATGGGCAGATGGAAGCCAGAGCTGGTGAGGCCTGAATGCATGAAGTGACTCCCTTCATCTTCCACCCAAGACACATATGGGTCATAAGTTGACCCTGAGCTGGGCGCCAGTAACTCACGCCTGTCATCCTAACCACTCAGGAGGCTGAGATCTGAGGATCATGGTTCGAAGCCAGCCAGGACAGGAAGGGTCTGTGAGACTCAATAAACTACTCAGAAAAGGCCGGAAGTGGTGCAGTGGCTCATTTGGTAGTGTGCTAGCATTGAACACAAAGAAGTTCAGGGACAGTGCCCAGGCCCAGAGTTTAAGCCCCACCCAGGACCAGCAAAAAAATAAATTAAGTTGACCCTGACCTGAGGTGCTCCCTATTCTGCCCGGTCCTGGGGCTGGGGGAGGTGGGGGGGCTGGGTAGGATGGATCTCATCAGATCTCATCAGGTGCCCTCAGGGGTGAGAAAATGCACTGTGGTCCCATTGTTCCATGTTAGGTCTCTGTCCCTTGACTTACAAGGGACAGAGCAGCCACCTCCTCTCCAGCTGAGTGCAGGAATCCTGCAGGAGCCTTCGGTGATTTACTCAGACCTGTATCTGTCCTCAGCCGCTTAGGCGTCTGAGAAGGAGACGAAGGAGACGCAAAGGCCAGGGGAGATATGACATGGGCAGGCAGGCAGGCAGGCAGGCAGGTGAGGAACGGGGTGCTTTTGCAAAGGTGGGGGACGTTTACCTTCTCTTTGTCAGGCTTCCTGGCAGAGACCGACTTCTAGAATAGCTCCGAGGGCCATGGGCACGCGGGCGCTGAGCTGTGGTAAGGAGCTAGTGAGAGCCAGTGTGTCTTCACAGGCGCCTGAAGGCCCCAGCCCCGATGGTGGGGGACAGCCTGCTGCCCCCCATCACTGAACCCAAGCAAAGAGAAGAAAGATCCCAAGACCCTCAGCTGCGCCGCAGTCAAGCCAGCTTTTGTGTCTGGGCTTATTAGCGCTCTGCAAGAGTGTGTCCTTATGTAGGCAACAAGAAATAAGGGGTCTTCCCTAGGGAGGGAGGTCTTAGCTTTCACCCCAGGAGGGAGAAAGTTAGAACAGGCCCACTGAGCTTCCTTGTGAGGTCCCCTGGGTCCCCTCAGGAGGCCAAGGCCCGGGCCCAGGCAGGTCTGGAGATGGGAGCATTTCTCAGGATTGGGGACCCATCCTCAATTGCTCCATCTCCACAACACCTATGTCCAGAAGCTCTCCTGCCAGGGTCAAAGGCCTGCAAGAGGGAAGCGAGACCTCTCCCCCCTCCCCCCTCTCTTCCCCCCCCCCCCACTCAGGCCAAGTCCACGGAGGGATAAAAGCATCAGGGTCCCTTTGAAAGCACTGGCAGAGCCTCAGTGGACCTGATTGCTGGGCGCTGTGTCTCACCCCCACCCCCACCCCCAGATTCCTGCAGCATTAGGCCTAATCCCTGGGCTCAGACGCCCTTTGAAAGGAGGAAGCCGGTGTGTTTGCTGGGCCAGAAACAGCAACAGAGCTGTTTCAGATGTACAGAGCTGGCCCTCTTTGAAGAGAGCGAGACGGGGCCTCTCCGCGGCTCTGGCTGTCTCCCTTGCTCTCAGCATGGGCCCCTGGGTGCTGATGGGGTCTTCTCACTGCAGTGGGGCCCATTCCGGGCCCCCGAGAGAGGGTTGTGCAGGGCAGTCGGGCAGACAGAGAAGGGGGTGGTGGGAACAGGGGACCCGTGGAAGAGAGGACCGGGGGCCACTGAGCAGCCCCTGGTCAGGATGGGTGGGGAGCCACGGCTGAGGACCCCAGCTTGGAGGAAGGGGATCTACATGGGGAAGGCACTGACGAAGACAATTCAGACTGCCTCCTCTCCCCGAGGACAGAATCGAAAGGCACGCCATTCAGCAGACGTGTCTAGAACATCTTCAGGGAAGTTCAGTGGTGCATTTCAGGGCAGGGCAATGTGAGAGCGATGCACTCAGGGCTCCAGCCGGGCTCTGAAAAGCCGTGGGATAACTTGATTGGCCGGTGGGAAGGTGACTGACGGTAGATGCTGGAATCCGGAGGGCCTCGTTCTCTCTTGCTATAGCAGGAAGGATTTGAGTTAGCTGAGAAAAGTCAGGGAGTTAGCCAGACCATTCCCAAGGGCCTGGCACTGTTTGGCTGTGTAGATGATATAGCCTGATTCTACACCTCAGCTGGAACTAAAGTGGAGCAGGAAGGGAGGGGGCAAGAAAGTAGGGAGGGTCTTACTTGTCTGCTTATCTCTAAAGACATGGGCCCAACTCAGTGCCAGCTGAAAGCTAGCGCTTTCTGGCAGAATTGGGTTAGAGCAGGGTCTCAGGGTTAATTCACCGGCTCAGGCTCACCCACAGCCCTTCCAGGCCCGAAGCTCCCAACCCTTGGGTCCTGGACAGGTGCGCTGTCCCTGTGCTAGCCTCGGGGACTGCATCTGACTGCTGCTTTGATGGTCAGAATTGGCTCCCTTAGGAGAAACTCGTCAAGAAAGGACAGCCTTGTCCCACGATAAGAGACACACAGACGTGTGTGTCCTGATGTGGCCCCAAACAGCTATGTAGCTCTGAGTTAGCAAGATGCCGCCATCTTCAGAGCCTCCGTCTCTTCATCCTCAGTGTGGGTGCTGTAGTACTTGAATGTTTTCCAGTAGTGGCACCGTGGCCCTTGTTGGGGTCATTCTGGTCTGTTTGCCTGATGGGGAGAGCTCTCCCCTCATCTTACATCTGCTCTCTGCCTCCCTGAACTTCCCAGACACCAGTGATAGAGGGGAGAGGGTGAGGGGCTGGTGGCATGTCCTGCATCCAGAGCAGGTAGGGGCGAGGCCACTCTGGGCTTTCTTGGGAACAGATGTAGAATCCTTAATTCCTTTTAATCAGCCTATTAGCAGTAGAGCCCAGAGCCTCTCGGCAGCCGCTTTCCCCACTTAGCAGCTGTTTGCTAAGACTTTACATGAAGGGTAACAAATGAAGCTGTGGTACCGCGGTGGATCTCAGCCTGTTCCCTAAAGCCCTGTTCCTGGCTCTTGCAGACACTCTCGAGAGCAGGGCCATCGGAGGGCTGCTGCTGTGCCACCGCTCCGGGCCTGCCTCAGGGAATCACAGCCAGGCCATGGTGCTGGAATGTGGTGCTATGCCCAGAAGGGACAGGATTGGGAGCGAGGAGGAAGAGAAACCCCTTTAGCCGCTCCCCCCACCCCACCCCCACCCCCGTCCCTGGGCCAGGATGGCAAAACCTCAGTGGGCCAACAGCTTCCCCGCCTGGCGGGTCTTCAGCGCCCACCTCAGGCTGAGGTAGAACCGCAAGCGTATTCTTCGTGTGCCCCTTGGCAGAGGAGTAGAGGAGCAGTCAGGATGCATGACAGTCACGGTCTTTGCTGAGCTGACCCTGGCTGCAGCCCCTCCCCGCCCCTCTTCAGTTAACCCCACATCCAGAGTCTGCTCCTGGTCTCGGCTCCTGCAAATAGAGTGCTTTCCGTCTGTCGGGCACTGCTAGGAGCTCTGCTTTCATGGAAGATTTCCGTCCTACAGGGAGGGGGTTGGTTCTACAATGAGGTGTAGGATCAGAGCCAAGATTCGAAGCCAAGTTTGGCCCCGCAGACCAAGACAAAATGGTCAGGGAAGAAGGACACTAGACATTCCTTGAGCTCCTGCTCCGCTCTGCCAGTTCACTAGGGGCTTGGCCTATGTGTTCAACTTCGCCATCCCCATCCACTCAGCCTTACAAGCTAGTGTTCAGATTGTGGTCAGAGCCCTCTAAGTCAAGAAGTGAATTTGGAAACTAATGACCTAGATTGTGAACACATGAAACGGAACAGAGTGGGGAACAGCTGAAGGTATCCTAGGACAGAGAAGATCTCAGTGTTGCACACTACGTTCTGTTTAGGGGTGTGTCCGTCTCTCTCTCTGTCTGTGTGTCTGTGTTTGTATACTAGATCATCAGCTAAATGTAATTTCTGCTGACAGTACGGTGGGAAGAAGTCTCCAGACGAGGTTTATGGTAGCAAAGCTTGAAGAAGTAAGTGACTTGTCCAGGGACACAGCTGTGAGTGGCTGAGACCGAGCCTTCTCCCCCTAGCCCCCACCGTGGACCTGTGGCTCCATCTGAGTTGGGCGTAGGGGAGTCTGAGGCTAGAAAGGGCTGGCGGTCCTCTGACACAGGCACAGGAGCCAGGAGGCTCCACGCGCCCCTCCGGTGCTGCCTGAGCCTCTCTAGTCTGTGAAGAAAACCATCCTCAGGGTCGTGGCCAGGGGCTCCCAGTGGGCAGCATCCATCTCTAGTTCACCTTCGAAGTGAGTGCACACGGTACGGATTACTCAGAGCGAGAACGACACACTCCCAGCCCCTTGGCCGGCCAGCCACCTCGCTGTACTGCCAGCCCATCTCTGCCTTCCCTCTCATCGCCACCCCACCCTGCTCCCTGGCCTGGCAGCTGTGTGGTGACAGAAGCCCTGCCAGCTCAGGGCATTAGAAGCAAAGTTGCATTTACTGGGCGGCTCTGGGCTTAGAGGGGTGCGCTAATCCCTTAAGAGATGTATGGCAGGAGATGAGAGGCAAGGAGAGCTAGAGAGGAAATCCCCACAAGGCTGTGGGCCTGGCCCTCAGCTCTAATTCCCCCCAAAGATCAGGTTCGGGTCCTGCAGGAAATGCACGGGCTCCAGAGCTTCAGAGGCAGAGAAGTAGTAATTAGGGGAGGACTGATGACAGAACAGGGCTGTGAGCAGAGGGAAAAGCAGGCCGGGAAGAAGCCCAGCGATCCTGGGCTGTCACAAGAGGCAGTGGTCAAGCAGGCGCTGGAATGGAAAAGCCGGGGTCCACCCCCTGCTAGACTTCATGAGGTCCAGGCCCTTTCTCACAGGGAAAGAAAACTTGTGTGGTGTGCACCGCACCTAGCAGAGCCGGTCCTAAGCAGACTCCCCAGTGGCCCCTTCCTGTATCTAGAGCAGAGGAGTGGCCGTCCTAGGAAGCCAGCCACACTGTCGCTATCCTGCAGCAGGGCAGGCAGGAGTCTTTGCAGGCTTAGTGCAGCTCAGCCCTGGCACAGGGGTGCATGGTCCTGGGGGACTCTGCCTGCCACTGGAGACCTCTAGCACTGGGACTGAGGGCAGGTTGGGAACCTGACTCAAGCCAGCGCTGCTGGGGTAACTGGGGCCCCAGAATATCTCCTGGCCCCACCCTGCCTACCCCAGGGGCCAGGCACACTTGGTTAGGATCTGCAGCTGCTGGGGCAAAGTCCTCAGGGAGCCTAGAGCCCTTGGGGAGGCCAGACTTTCGGGCCTCAGGGCCTCCAGCCCCTGTGGCTCCATCCAGATCCTCTCCTTTTTCTCTCCCACCACAGGACGCCCGCTCTGGGGCAGCGACTGTCACATCCCACGGGGGACCCCGAGCCAACACTGTCCTGGAGCGCGTGGAAGGTGCGCAGCAGCGCTGGAAGCTGCAGGTGCAGGAGCAGCGGAAGACCGTCTTCGACCGGCACAAGATGCTCAGCTAGACGGACCGGCACCGTCGGGTCAGGGACCCAGGCCATGCTGCCAGCTTCCGAGGCTGGACAGAGCCGGGGAGGCTCCTCTTCCCTCAGCGCGTCTTCCCTTTAAAAGCCAGTGGCGTTTTTCCTGCTTCTCTCTCTCTTTAGGAATGTTGTATTCATCTGTGTTTATGAAGGAGCATGGTGGGGTCTCAGGGAAGGGGAAAGCAGGCCAGAAGGAAATGGAGGCCTTGGAGGTGGACTCTGCCCCTCCTCACTCTGCCTTGGCTCCGCCCCTACCAGCTCCACATCTGGGAGGCTGCTCCACACCTGGTGGCCTGTTAACCCCTTGCAGGTAGAGCTGCCCAGCACTCACCTGTGCCCTTGGCTCTTTTGGCTCATTCCCACTCTTCCAGCCCCTGCCCAGCCTGCCTGTAGCGCAGGGACGGTGCTGGTCCACAGAGCTCGCAGTGGTGCCCCGGCCACCAGCACTGCCTGATTCCCTCTCCCCAGCTCCTCGCCCACAGACACCCGGGCGGGCATGCGGCCCCGCGGCCCCTGCCGCCTGTCCTCTTGTTCCTTTCTCGGGAGGCCATGCAGCAGCACCACCACCCCTTCTCAATCTGCAGCTGCTAAGCCAGGAAGTGGGTTGGAGCACGCAACACGAGGCTGAGCAGCGGGCTCAACACCGCTCCTGTCCTTGCTCACCCCTCGTCCCTGAGTTTCCTGTACCGTGCATGGAGAGAAATGTGTGTCCTTCTGTTGTCTTAGAGCAGTCTGTAAATCAAGGAAGCCATCATTAAATTGTTTTTATTTCTCTCACTTTCTGGAGTCGAAGAGAGTTGGGAAACAAAGAGTGTGACTGGGTAAGTGGCGACCTGGAGAGGGGATAAAGCGTTCTTGGCAGGTCCCTGCGGAGAGGCAAAGTCTTGGAGAGCCTGGTGCCTGGTACCCAGGGCTGAGACACGGTGGGATCCAGGCAGAGCCTGGCGCTCCCCTGTCACCTGCTGAGCACAGCGCCGGTTCCCTGGCCTGAGGTTTTGTTTGGAAGGGAAAGCCCCCTGAACCTACACTGGCCTCATGCCTCCCCCATCAGATCTGTAAGTCACAGACACAAACGATGCTCATTGTATAGTGTCCCAGAGTAGGGTGAGCGCCATGGCTCACATCTGAAATCTTAGCTACTCAGGAGACTGAGATCTGAGGGTTGCTAATTGAAGCCAATCTGGGCAGGAAAGTCTGTAAGATTCTTATCTCTAACCACCAAAAAGTCAGATGTAGAGCTATGGCTCAAGTGGTAAGGCACCAGCATTGAGCAAAAAAAGCTCAAAAGGGACAGTGCTCAGGTGCCAAGGTCAAGCCCCAGTACACTGTCTGTCTGTCTGTCTCTCTCTCTCTCTACACACACACACACACACTGCCCCCAAGTTATAGGTGAGACAGCTCTAGGGACCAGTCTGATTGGATTGAGGTTTGTCGTCTGTGAACGTGAGTTGTGGACCTTCATGTGGAGCTGTGCTGGGTTCTCAGTGAGGGGAACGGGGCAAGAGATCAACTTGAAGTGTTAGTTTCAGTTCAGAGCCATGTACAAGTACTATGGGGAGCTGGGAGTGAGCTGCATCCACAGCTAACAGGAGGAGCACAGGCTTTGCAGTGACACTAGAGCAAGTCCTTCACACAGGTGAGTCGCAGAGCTGATTACAAGAATGCTTAGCAGGGGTGACTTTAGAGGTGGGGCTAACAGGAGCTACAAGGCTGGTAGGAGACCGTCTGGGTGTCCGCCCTGTTCAGTGCCTCTCCTCTGTCTACTTGTGTGTTAAAGCCACCTGCTGGAAAGGGCCTGGATGGGCTCCATGTCCAGCTCTGGCTGCAATGCTCTGCCCACTCTTCAAAGTCACCCCGTGCCCTCTGCAGGCGGATCTCCCATTCTGTGCTCGGCTGAGCTGCTCCCCCACAACACCCCAGATAACCCCGCAAGTTCAAGTTCTGTTACAGAGGTGTCTCTGGGTCTCGCCTTTCCCGCCCTCTTGCTGTATTTGTCACCATTGATCTCTCCTTCCTTCATAAGACCCCTCACTCAGCTCCTGTGACCCTCGCCCCCAGGACCTTTTCATTCTTTCTGATCATCCTTTCACCCCCTCCTGAGTACTGCTGTTTTCTGATCTCTGTTCTTAGCCAATTTGGCATGATCTCAAATTTAACATTGAAATCTTTTCCCTGGGAGTTAAGTCCAGTAACTGTTGCCAGTCCCTGAGTTCCAGACTTCGTGTGTGTGTGTGTGTGTGTGTGTGTGTGTGTGTGTGTGTGTGTGCGTGCGTGTGCATGCGTGCGTGCGCATGCACGCATGTGCACGTGCTAGGGCTTGAGCTTGGGGCCTTGCACTATCACTTAGCTTTTTCACTCAAAGCTGGTGAACTATCACTTGAGCCACACGTCCACTTCCACTTCTGGCTTTTTGGTGATTACTTGGAGATAAAAGTCTCATGGACTGTCTTGTCTGGGCTGGGTTTGAACCTTGATCTTCAGATCTCAGCCCCCTGAGTAGGTGGGCTTACAGACGTGAGCCACTGGCACACAGGTATCTTTTTTTATTGATGATTCATCATTCACTAGGTTTTCTGAGCCAGAAGCCTGGAGATGATCAATTCTTGATTCTTTTCCTTTCTGCAGTGCTAAGGTCCAATCAGTCACAAAATCCTGCCAACGGGCTGGGAAGGTGGCTCAGTGGTAGGGCGCTTGCCTTGCATGCCAGAGGCCCTGGGTTCAATTCCTCAGCACCACATAAGCAAAAAGAAAAAAGCCAGAAGTGGCACTGTTGCTCAAGTGGTAGAGCGCTAGCCTTGAGCTGAAGAGCTGAGGGACAGCACCCAGGCCCAGAGTTCAGGCCCCACGACTGGACCCAAAAAAAAAAAAACAAAAACAAAAACAAAATCCTGCCAACTTGACCTCCAGATGGTTCTGGAATCTGTCCCCTTCTCCCCGTGCCTGCCCTCAGTTCGAACCTTCATTGTTCCTAACTCTTCATATTGCAGCTCTGGTTAGGAACTGGCAGGGAGCTTACACTGAATCAGACCACTTGGTCATCTTCCTCTTCCGAAGCTTCTAGGGTGCCTGGTTTCCTAAGGTTGGCTGTGGCCAACCTCCCCTCCTAGCCTTGGTCTAGAACTGGGTAGGAGTTCCTGGGTGCACTTCGCTAATTACTAGATGGAGAAGGCCTTAGGTGCGCTCCGATGGGTGCAGGGTCTCGGCTCCCAGGCAGATGGGTGATCCTGGGCTGCCTCTAGGACTTTTTTGTTCTTGCCAAAAGGCCTAGCAACAGCTGGCCCAGCCTCCTCCCCAGCGCCCGGTGGACGAGCCCTGCCCTGGGGGACTGAAGAGGGACCTGAGCTTGGAAAGGTGACTGGAAGGGTATGGGAGTTTTGCTCCAAGCCTGAGCTTGCTGTCCAGGACTGGGCATCTGCTGTCCCCAGCACAGGCACCGGGGCTCCGGGAGTCAGTAGGGAGGGGCGATGGAGCCCTGATCGCTGCTGGGCCTGGTGTGACTTCTCAGCCATGTGAGCCCCTCAGAGCCAGTCTCTGGTCCGGGACAGGACCAGAGACCAGCCTGTAGTAAAATGCACTCATGGAATGATGGATGCCGGGAGAGAGGCTGAGTGGAAGTTTCCCTATGAGGCCACTTGAAAGCAAGAAGGGTGGAGTGGGGTTTGAATACAAACTCTGCTGGGCACAGGTGGCTCATGCCTAGCTACTCAGGCTGAGATCTAAGGATCTTGGTTCAAAGTCAGCCTGGGCAGGAAAGTCCATGAGACTCATCTCCAATAAACTACTCAGAAAAAAATAGAACTGGTGCTGTAGCTTAAGTGGTAGAGTGCTATCCTTCAGCACCAAAGCTCAGGGACAGAGCCCAGGCCCTGAGTTCAAGCCCTGGGACTGGCAAGAAGGGGGGGAAAGGCGGGAGGCGGGGGGGGGGGGGGGAGGAAGGGAGGGGAGAGAGAACAAAGAACATGAATTCTGAGCCCAGCCACTGGTACAAACCCTAACTGCCCCTTACTAGCTGGGTGGAGCTTTAAACTGCACACTGCCCTTTCCTGGCTGCAGGGTGGGGATGACAGCTACTTCCTGCGTTGTTGGGTGACTGTTGCCCAGGCAAAGCCGGTGCTCCACATGGGCACCCACGGAATGAGGGCCGCTGTGGTGCACATGGTGGTGACCCTGGCACCGCCTCCTTCACATCAGAGGCCTAGAGAATCCACAGGGGCTGCCTGTTACACGTTATTAGGACCCTTAGCACTAGACCACCCTGGCCCTCAGCTAGACCCCTCTTGCTGTGTGGACCCCTGGTCTCTCCATCCTGGGCATGGTGTTGGGCCCAGAACCGCGGCCTGGGAGCGCCAGCTCCTCTAATGACTTCGTGGGAAGGGCCGGGAGTTCTGATGCTGTGTGAGTTCAGGCGGGCAGACCTCCTCCCTGAGCCCTGCTTCTCCACAGACAGTGAGAAGGCCACTAACCTTGACTCTGGCCACAAGAAAAGAAATTTGAGGCTGTCCTGGAAGGAGATCTTTCTATCACATTATCTCTGCAGTTATTTTTAATATGCAGGCGAAAAGGACATAATGAGCACATCCACATTATGATTTTGTGGCCAGGTTCTTTCCTGTGGGGGAAACATCTGTAAAGATGAGCTGGGTGCCAGTGGTTCACACCTGTGACCCTAGCTACTCAAGAGGCTGAGACCTGAGGAGCCTAGTTCAAAGCCAGCCTGGGCAGCAAAGTCTATGAAACTCTTCTCTCTACTTAACCAGCAAAAATGTCCGAAGTGGAGCTGTTGTGGTAGAGCACCAGCCTTGAGCAAAAGAAGCTAAGTGAGAAGGGAAGGGGTGGGGGGGGAGGAACGTGAAATTAGGCACACTGAGCGCAAACCCGGCTGTAAAGGACAGCAGATCTTAGAGACGGCAGTGGGCTAATGATGCAGTTTGGGAACTTGGGACCAGTTCATATCTCCAAGGTGGCACCCGGTATTGGTGCTCTTGACAAGGGCAGGGGAGGGCTTTCCACGCTGCATCTACACCATGAGGACAGCTGTGAGCAGGCTCGGTGGATCCATACCGGACAGCCCTGGAGCTTCCCCAGGCCAGCCTGACTCCTAGGAGAGTGGCTGGGGCCCTGCCTGCTGCTCTGGCTTCCGGCACTTCTGACCCTGTGCTTTGCAGGCCCTGGCTATGCCAAGCCCCCAACTGAAGCTTTGGAACTGGGCCCTGGGGAACACTGCAGACCCCGCTCCCCCCACCCTCCATTGAACCCAGGGGCATCCAGTAAACACCCACCAGCTCCCACCCCCAATCCGGTATGATGAAAGCCACCACAGGGAGACGGCTCTCTGACCCGTCCACTGGTCCCCGCACTCCTCACGCTATGCCAACTTCCACTGAGAGGGGTCTGAGCTCCCTGACCACGAGGCCGCGGCCGGATGTCCCGGCCCTCCCTTGGCCCTTCGCTGGGCCAGGACGCAGGAGGACCACGTCTCTGCTCTTCTTGGCTCCAGCCCCCAGCAATATGTCTCTTGCCCAGACTTGGGGCAGCCAATCACAGCAGGCCAGGGGTGGTCCTGTCGACAACTTGGGAGCAGATCCCAGATCCCAGGCGCCCCCACCCCTCCTCCCTCCTCTTCTGGGTGTGTCACGCGTTTGAAGCTTAAGCAGGTAAAGTGTACCTGGGTCCTGGCGCTTCGGCAGGGCTGGAGGCGCTGCGGGGCAGGGCGAACGGCACCGGAGGTCCTCCCGTCCCTCGGGGGGGCCTGGGAGACACTCACCAGGAATGGCCGT